GGCTTCTGGACGGCCGCTCACGGCGGCTGCTGGCCGCTCACGCTGGCCGCTGGCTACACACGGTAGCCCATGGCAACCCACTGCAGCAAGGGCTGCAGCCTACGGCATCGCGGGTGACTCACGGCAGCCCAGCTTCAGGTTGAGCTGTTGTTCAGCATCTTAGCTGTAGAGGGGAGTGTCACTGGCCCTCATATGTGGGATCCGAACCAGGGCCCTCTGGCATCCCAAGCCAGCTCTTAACCAACGCGTCACTCAGCCGGCCCAGATACACTGTAGGTTTTGAATTGTTCTGATAATGTTAGGTGTTTTTATCGACTATAATATCTGACATCTGTTGCATTTACATTTAATTCTCACACTGTCCCTGGGGGGCGGGGTGGGGACCATCATCTTGTACATTTTATACCAGATGAGTAGCCTGGAGGCAGTCAGACCTGTGTCATGGGGTGGGGCTGGGTTTCCCACACCTGCGTCTCAGGGCAGTGCGTGTATACACGCGCGTTTTGGTTTCTATCGAGTTACTTTCTTTAACTTACATCCAAGGATTCGGATTAAATGGCTGTTTGCTTTAAAAAGGAGCTCATTCAGATCTTCTCCTATTAACCAATAATTCTCCTTTAGAACCTTCACTTTCGACCACGCTGCCTTTTTCCTGGCAAGTGATCTAATTTTCTGAAGGCTGACTCAGAACCACAGCAAAATGGGATCATTTCTGGTGACACTCATTATCGGGAGAGGTGGCACGACAGAGCGAGACCTCAAGTCCAGCTCTTCTGATGTCAAATGAAGTGTTGACAGCGCGCTTCAGGTCTTAGAAGCGGGGGGACCTAGACCAGTAGTGTGTCCCCAGAGCCTAGCTCCTTGTGAGGCTGTTGGATGGAGACGAAAGCACACAAGCTTTCCAGCCAGCAGACGGGCTCAGGGTCCCGGCAGCCACACCAGCTGTGAATCCTCAGGCAGTTTATGAAAACCTCCTGAGCTCCTGGTTCTGAGTCTGTAACTGAGGGCTGATTATAATGACCGCCTTACAGAGCTGGAGGGAAGATTTTGAGAAGACAAGTACCAGGCACCCAGCACCGTGCTGGGGTATATTGATGTACAGGCACTGCGTATCCAGTACCTCCTGTCTATTTCCAATGCAAATTCTCGTTCCTACCCCAGAGCTCTTTGATCAGGGTTTAGGACAGAAAGCAGGAGCATACAGAGACCCCCTTGTGACCATCTGGCACAACAGTAGGTGTCCACTGCATTTAAAATGACCTTTCTGAAAATGTTGAATTGGTGGCATTGAGAAACTGCTTTAAAAATTTTCGGTCTGGCTACCATTTTTGATGGTTGACTAGAAATGGTGTCTTGCTTAAATACCATCCTGAACCATCATAATACCTTTTGGGCCATTGGATACAGTGGCGAAATCCTGGCTGCCCAAAGGGACGATTTCTAATTCACAGGATTACTGCTGGATCTCGTTACTGCACATAGAGTATGTCTAAGTTCAGTTCAGAATCCTAGTAGAGATTTACTTTTCATCTGGCTTTTGCTATATTTGAATAGATGACTCTCTTAACGAGTCAGCCTGGTGAAAATAGCTCCCTATGCAAAAAAGGGAGATTTCCTTCCCTTTTTGAATAGATGTGAACGGAAGTAGACGAAAATAAGGTACTGGGAGAGACGGCCATTCCCCTTGTCCTTGGGGCCATAGCATGAAAATGAGGCAGCTGTTTCATCTTTAAGCCTTCGAATCTCCAAAATCAGATAGTTCTAGCCGTTCATGTTTTTAGGGGAAAAGATGATTTTTATGCAGCAGTTTCCACATCAGCTGTATTCTCATATTACAATGCAGCTCACTCACATAATAATATGAATAATGTGAATGTCCTGACACACAAATCTGTAGGTGTGTTTTTATGAAAATATGTTGACTTTTCAGAAGTAAATTCTTTAAAAGAGAGCCTTGACTTG